AAAAACCCAAGTTCGAAGTGTGTGCGTGCGCGCTTGCTCATTTGCAAGGTCGTGTCCTTGAGATTGTTCGTTCAAGTGAATGTATCATCACAAGGTGTGCAGTTGTGAACTATGCAGTGTTTGCGCATGCACGCCTCCGTTAAGGAAGACAAACTCTGAGGATACGCCCAAGTTTGTACATGTTGCATTGCAAAGAATCAATACACTCCAGAGGGGCGAGGCTTGGTGCGCCTTTTCCCTAGTGGTGAGCTTAGGTGGCTGGTGGACTTTGCGTTGTGCGGTATGGGGGCGGTGGTTAGGAAACCTGGTTTGGTGACATCCAGGGATGGGCTTAAAATTCGTTGAACTTTCCAGTGACACTGTCTCTGTCTCTCCTCTCTGATCTCTTTGTGTTTTGCTTGGGAAAGACCACAAGACTCGGCTTCAAAATGTTTGGCAAGTGGAAACACAGGGGAGTGGCCGTTGCAGTTCACCTTGCAACCTCTAAGCTCTCTGACCTACTCAGCTGTGTCTTGCCGAAGGAAGATGGTGGCGGGTCTTCACCGGGCTGTTAACCTCATGAACAACCTTCTGAATTGTCTTCCTCAGCCCCTCAACGTGGCCAGAGACGAACGAAGACTAGTTGTGTGTGTGTATGCGTATATATATATATATATACATATGTACGCAATTGTACACATAACTATATGCATGTGTATCTATCTATATGTGTGTGTATATATATATATATCCAAGTGCTTTCAAAAAGTTCAACAGCACAGGATTCGGCTCCTCTTCTTGGAAATATTGCTCCAAACCGATGAATGCAATTTATTTGTGTATACAAAGGGTATGTAGGGCAGGCTTCTGTGGCTTCTGCTGTGCCTCCGGATCATGGGAAAGGCCGGCGCTCGCTGCATGAAAATCGCCCCAGGAGCGCGACATCGCCAAACTCCTGGAGCAGCGCAGGTCGGTTAACTCACCACCCAGCCACGCACCACAGTTACTAGTAGCTTCTTGTTACTAGTAGCGATGCCAGGAGCCCCTAGTAGCGTCCTTGCTCCTAGTAGAAAGGCCAGGAGCCCGTAGTACCTTCTTGTTACTGGTAGCAAATTAGCTACCAATAGCGATGCCCTTGTTACTAGTAGTGATGCCCTTTGCTACTAGTAGCGAGTCCCTATTGAATCTTTTTTCTGGTTGTTTAACAAGCTGTGTGATGTTTGTGTCGACCTCTTTGAAGCTTTGATCAAAGTGTCTTGAAGAGCTGCACAGGATTATATATACCATATTGTGTGTACATATACATATATATATCGTATATGTATATGTCTATGTATATATATAGAGATATAGATATATAGCTGTACACAGTTCAGAAATCTGTCCCATGTCGGCATGATGGCCCTCCCAGCGCTCCACTCACCCGCCAACAGTCTGCTCGACTCCCCTTCACAAGCCACAACCTTGGTGAATTCAAAGCCCGACAAAAGTGAAGACAGAAACAGAAACAAACAGAAACAAGAAGCTACTAGGGGCTCCTGGCATCGCTACTAGGAGCAAGGACGCTACTGGGGGCTCCTGGCCTTACTACTAGGAGGAAGAAGCCGAAGCTACTAGTAACAAGTGCATCGCTACTAGTAACAAGTGCATTACTACTAGTAACAAGAAGGTACTAAGCGATGTTTTGGGCTGGTGACTGGAGCATTGTAAAAAAATGCATCAGACACGTGCTTTGAAAATCATGAAACACCTAAAATATTTAGATATATTTAGACTTCTACACCATTCTCTTTGCACATCGGGGGCCCTATTTCAACACCACCCAAGCAATCACACTCTTGGTGACTGCTTGCTGAATCTGCTCTCTGTCTCATCTTCAAAACCCTCAAAACCTCATGTCCGCAATGATCCATCTGCTTGTGGGGAATTTTTTCGGAGTATATACCCCGAATCCAAGCCCTTGGGCCCGTGCACTGCCGCCAGCATCTTGAATCCGCTTCATCTCATCCTCGTAGCACAGGGCCAAGAAGACATATGAAGGTCCGGAGTTGCGCACAGATCAAAGCGATTAAACACAGACCGGCTAGAAGACCTGCGGCAACACACACACACACAAAACACACATGCTGTCGCAGTGGCCCCCAACTTCTTCAGGCCCAAAATGGCTAGTCTCCTGTCTGTCTGGGCGATGGATGTCAGTGAGCTGGTCAATCTGCCATGGCCCTCCCTTGCGATACGCCAAAACCTCAAGCAATCTCAAAGCAAAACCAGCATGTTGGATGTTTCAACATGTCAATATCTTCGATTTCCGGGCATCTGTCAAGAGATGAATGATAAATCCTGAACAGAGCGATAAACCCTGAGCAAAGATGTTCGATCTGAAGATAAATAAACCAATCTATATAATATTGAGGATTTGGGTAAGATCCCAAATACAATCCCAAATTGCCACAGGTTTTGCTGTAAGTGTCTATCCTGGAAGGTTGGTACCATATATAAGGTATTTATAGTATATATAGTATGACAATATACAAACAACACATTCTTAGGTTCGGAGCCCTCGATCGCATTCCCGGCACTCCCACTGCCCAGTTCATTTCCCATCAACACTCCAGCACGAATTCCCAAGAACATATTTCTGAACAAAGAGCCACCTCCTTAAATACATCTTCATTGGCGATTAGCGGCGCGTTGCGAGATTGTTGCAAGCCTGCAGAGTCACCACATAATGTGGACTCACGACATGAGTTTTTAGCAGCCAAATCCACGGGCAGCGCCCTTTTGAAGTTCGAAGCGATGTCGCGGCATTCTCTCGGCATGACTCGCCATTCTCTCGGAGTTCATTGGAATTAGAAGTGGCACCTGGCTAGCATTAGAAGTGGCATTCTCCTGTCTTACATGTTGAAGGGGAGACTCAGCCTCCGGAACTGTTTTTTCAGGTGCCTCTTTAGTGCGTGAACTCGCGTGGCGGAAAAAGGTCGAGAGGCACTCTGAGCCATTGTCAACGAACCCTTGATGGACTCAACAAGAAATACTGTATCAGTATCAGTGGATTGGACAGTTTGATCACCTTTGTCGTGTGCTCTTGCCCCAGAGGAAATAGAGAACCATGTCAAAGTCTGTCAAAGTTAGCAGCGCAGTTTACAGGAGTTGAAGTTGACAGTGGCAACGAATACGTATTTCACAGTGGCCGCTCAGGACATTTGGCAAAGTTTGCGAAGCTGCAGTGGGCTTGGGATCACCTGACATGATCTGGTGACTGCATACATTGCTGAGTCCAAATGGCAATCCTGTGCTATGTGCAACACCTGCACCAAAAATGAAACGTTTGTTAGCTTCAGTCGATCATACTGCATTGGTTGTTTTCCGACTAAAGAAGAGTTGTGTGAAAGTCTGTCCAGGCCCAGGCCTACTTGCAGCGGACGCAGCCGGCACAAATGGCTAGCTCCATGAACATGCCCCAGAAGGAGCGTTTCCAACCATCCATCCCTGTGTGCACACCGCTGCCGGCACTTTGAGCATAGGTAGCCCGAAGATCTTCTTCAAGAGCTTGAAGTGCGGCATTTGCATTCGAAATGATGGGAGGCCTGGGCTGCTTGAGGCCCATCTGGACGTCACTTCGTCGCCAGCTCTCAGAATAGAGCTTTCTTAGCTTTTCCGCCTCCCATGTCCAGATATCAAAAGCGGCACGACAGAGGACAAGAAAGAAGGACAAGACTCGAAAGAACGAATAGAATCAGTCGCCACCCTCCCTCCTGTCATGTGTGTGTGTGTGTTGCCTCATCGGTTGATCTGTTCTACTTCAGGAATTCTCTTTCCCTAGCTGGCCCGATGAGCCCTCTGAGCAAAGCTTTAGACGGGCACCTGGTCCTCCGTTGCAGCTTGTACTGCAGCCTGGGCGCAAGCACAGGTCCACCCCGAAGGCTTGCATGGCTTCGTGATTCTGCCAGCATGCAAAACTCAATAAAAGCCTCCTAAATAGCAAAGCTCCTTCAATGCCCCTGTGGCCAAAGTAGTTGCTAGCTAGTAATTATAAGCAATTCGACGAATGTCGACCTGCCTGAAACTCCTTCTTGGCATTCGTGGGACTTCCCTCCGCCACACAGTCATCCATCATCGAAGGTCGGCCCCGCAACATTGGCGGGTGAACGCCACGAGTTTGAAGATCAGCTCTGAGCCGAACGCCGAATGGCCGAATGCCGAATGCAGGGCTCCACAAACGACAGACTCATAGGTTGGAGGCCATCGCTACTAGGGTGGAGGCCATGCCTATTGGAAACAAAGAAAAAAGAAAAGAAAACAAGGTCAAAAGTTTCGGTGCCTAAAGGAACTGCCAAAAGCCCAACTGGGAGCTCGACTGCGATGGAATCTCCAAGGTGTGCAGAGCGGATGCGCCAATTCAACGGCTTCGCGCCTCAGTCTGGACAACAGCTCAGGCTAGCTACTCTTGGATGATGTATCATATATCCCAAATCAATTGCACACAATTTTGATCCGCTCAACACCTCTGGCACTCTCCGTGTTCAGGCTGGGTGGAGCCAAAGCCGACGTTCCACCAAAAACTCAAACTATGACCGTTTCAGGTGCAGGAACAATCGAACAAACAATCCAAGAACGCCTGGGGTCATGGCTGTCTAGCATGAGGACGGTCATTGTGGTTCCAGAAACATTTGCCTGTCAATGTGGGCAAGGGGTTGTGAAGCCAACACCAACCAGCTGCGAACAACGGTGGGAACTTGCTAGACTAAGAAAAGTATTGAACCGCAATGAGCCGCATATTGCAAGGGGGTTGGTAGCTGTTTTCTCATGTTCTCTCTACATTGTTAGTCGAAGAGTCCACCCACTCTCACTTCTATCAGCTCCTTATTGGCCATATCAGAATCCAGCTGACATTCTCTGCAAAGCATGGTCACCTGAGGATGGAAGGGCCAGGGCGGTAGGCCGCTAGTAGAGGTAGCTAGCAGGTCAGCCAGGTAGGTAGCTAGTAGAAGCTAGGGAGTCGCTAGTACCTACAAGTAAGCTACTACTTAGGACGCAAGACAGCTCACGCTTCTTCAAGGAAGAAGCGATCGCGCTACTGTATTCATTTGGTTCCTAGACTTTTAGGGAAACTTATATAAGTATAAAAGAAATCGCAGCTGGAAGGTGCATCTTCTATCCGTTCGATCCATTAGACTATCAATTTCAGAATAGGTCTTCGCAGATTCCAGCCAAATCCTAGTAGTGATGCAAATAAAGCTGCGCTGAGAATAGTGATACTGGTTCAGAAGCGGGTGAGGGAACCTGCCCGGGTCTCAACATGTCTCAACACACTTGCCAGGTCTCAACATAGCTTGACTTAGTTACTTTCGAGCTTCTACGTTAGCTTTAGTCGTCACTAGAAAGCTTTATTGTTAACCTAATAGCGATGACCTCCACCTAGTGCAGTCGTTACTAGAAAGCTTTACTATGTGCTAGGCAGCCCTGCAGCATTCTTGACAGACTTCTCCCAGCTTTCAGGGTCTTCTCTGATTCCTTCGAGGATAGTCCCGGGCAAGTGCTCCTTCGATTGGCAAAGACCCGAAAGCTGCTGCAGCACATAAAGAACGAGTGTCTGTCAAGCACCAGGCCCGTTTTGCCAGGGTTCCCCATCTAAACTTCCTCCGAAACTGATTGGATGAACATGTCCTACACATGCAAAAAACAGGCGATTCAAAACGCAAAATGTATTGTGCAACCCTGCCAATGTCAGGATAGCTCAGCGTCAGGGTGTGTTTGTGTGTGTACACCAAGGACTTTACGCATGCTCGTTTGCTATACAACAGGGGGCCACGCAAGGGAGTGGTAGGGAAGAGCCTGGGGGTAAGCTGCAACCGGCTCATTTCGATCGTTTTTGTCCTCAACATAGTTCTCCGTCTCATTTCCTACAGTACTCTTCTAAGCTTATTCAGGCAGGCTCAGGTCCGCAAACTCTGCAGTAAAGGGTCTAACGCGCTCTGGAACCCACCAGATAGTGTTCAATCGGTGTTGCTGATTCACCCTTCTCCAGCGTGTACAGTATGTCTGCGTGTGCGTGGGACAGCATGAATAACAAGCGTTGGTTTTTCACGCCGAAACCTCACAACCCCTAACCACCCACCAACCTGATCTCACCAACATGTTCACCAAGAAAGAAGGTCCCCCTTTTCACCCCTTGCCGCTATAACTCTAACTTTATGTGGAAAAAGGATGAAAAAGGACTGGCATCAGTAGACCCTGTAGAGGACTGTCGAGGAAAATCCACCCGCGTGCGGCGCGTCCGTTTTCGGCGTCCAGTCCTGAGCGAAGTGCGCCACGGAATGTCCGTGGGGGCCATGACCTGAACGTCGACAACTCAGGCGTCAACGACACAAGAACGAAGCAGCCACAGCGTCGCGATCACCCGGAAGGCATCGGGGAGGAATCTGGAGGTGTCTTTCTTGCAAGGTAATAGGAAAGCAATCAACATTATAAGCAATGGCCTCTAACCTAAGAGCGATGGCCTCCAGGAAGTGTCTTGCTTGCAAAGTGTTCCACTCATCAACAAGTGACCGTCAAGGATGCCCATCAGCACGGACTCTTTCCGAACGAGCACAAAGAACTCGTCCTTGCGCTCGACACCAAGACACAAATACATATGTATGTATATATGGTATATATGGTATATGCATACGCATCACGGATGTGTGTCTAAACAACAGGCCCGAAGAAATGATTGCCTTCGATGTTGCGGGGTGTCTTTTGCGCACTTGGGTCGCTCAATCAACCCATGCCGCCGCACATGGGGCCATCTGGATGGTTACTGTTCTACATAGACATAGTCACAGTCCACAACCTTCAAAATTTCAAGTCTGCTGCAAAAGCAGTTGGACACTGAAGGATTGTCCCCGGATGGTGATTTTTTTCCAAGGTAGTCCAATCCAGTGAAGCTTCACATTGTCCTGATTTGGCTGTTCCGGCTTGTGGCCACGATGGCTTACCACACCAAGACAATGTCTCATCCTGCACAGGCAAGTAAAGCCGTTGGCAGAGTGGAAGGGCAATGCGACATAGTAACACGGAGTGGCTTGATGCATACTCAACTGCTGGGACATTCCATGCAAATCACGTTCCAAAGGGCGAAAGGGACCAGCACAAACAAACTAGTGGTTCTGATCTACCCTTCGAACGACCTGCGAAATCCAAGCAAGCCATGGCTGAGATCTGTAGCGGATACAGTAACGCTTCTACTGCATAAAACAAAGGCAAAGGCCTTTTGAAAAGCCTCTTTGGAAACAAACAAACGCCAGGTCTGTTTTCTGCCTGGAGAACTCCCCGTCAAAGTTCATGGGCTTGGAAGAGAAGTATGGAGCCTTGGACACACTTGCATGTTGTATGTTTGAAGAGATCAAGTGACAACTCGCTGGATGCCTTCCCAAGGTGAACAAAGCCTGACCTGCACAGGACTAATTTGAACAACATTCGTGTTGTCCTTGCTCTTTGTACTGATCTCGGGATAGTACTCCGTGAATGCTTGCCTCAGATCCTAAACAATTCTAAACTGCTTCTCAGTGGAAGGCCAAGTTGTATGACACTATTTATAGAAGTGGCAGGTCTTCTCGTGTCCATGGCCATGTCCAGTGGTCCATCCCCAACTGAGTGCTAGCAAATATAATATAGCAGTCTGGACCGCAGCGATAGCAATCTCTTGGCTTTTGTGCTTCAACAGACAACGATCCGTATTACCCTTTACCCTATTCAGCCATTTTCTGCAGTTGTTGAGGATTCAATCCACCCTATTGGCTGGGACATATCATCCAGCTCTTCTGGCTTGCATGACTTGCTCAAGGGTCCCACGTAGAAGTCTTCGTCATGGGACTCATCTCCCCACAAAGCCAAGACCTCGTTGCAAGTGGGGACTGCGGACGAAGAGAGCCATGCCAAAGGAGCTCTTTCTTTCAGAAACCGATCAAATAGTTCATGTCTTCAAGATTCTCCTTCAAAAGGGTCAATGGGCATTCTAGTTGTTCTCGCCTATAACCAATTTACTATAGTTTAATATATAGTTACAGTTCTTACCTCTTGGCTGACTCTGACAACATGCGCCGTTTCTTTGATGCTTGCCAAGCGATGCCAAGCGTATCTTTTCTTACATGACCGCCCAGCAACTGCTCCGGACCGCCTAGCCGTCGGACCGGTCACGGATCGGACCGCCTTCCCCGGAGTCTTGTCCTCTGCTGGGTGTCTTTTCTCATGTATCCTGCAACAGTCCCGGGGAGCGAAATCGCGGTGCGGTCTTCCTTTTCGTCTCACAGGAACTGTCTCACAGGTGGATGGGAAGAACAGCACGCGGGTCTGACCCAAAAGTTCATGTCCACGTGTGTATCCCTGTCTTGTCGTGTAACCGTGTACAAGAAAACATGCAATGCACAGTACAAAATGATAATTACGTCGATCAAATCCCACGACTTGCAACCCTCAGTCCTGCTCTCAGGCTTGGACATTTCCTTGTCGATCACATCCTTCAGTACATGAGGAAAAAGAATATTGAATTAATGTCATGTTGGCCGATTTGTATTCGTCAAATCGTGGACATGAAACCGTCCCGACGAGTTCAAACTCAATGTCCATCAAATGCATCCCAGGTGCAACTATGAGATTGTGATGATCCTGTTGACAGGGTGATAACCTGCGTCAAGACACTCCGTTTGCTGGTGCACCGCTAAATCAGTGGTCTGGTGCCTAGTGCAGCTGTTTGGCATGAGTCCATGAGTGAAAGCCGCACTGACAGTTGGTGCACAAATCAGGCTCGCTGCATACATCGCAATGCGGGTAAAATATGAAGCTTGCTGAAGGTAAGAACTACAAACTCCATCAAATTTCTCAATACGATCAACACGAAGCCACATGGCCATGTACGAATGTGCGCTCTATATATATATATATATATGCATGAGCGGAGCCACAGGAACTTTATGCCACACCTGCGCTGCCCCAATAGTGATGCCTGGGCCAGGCACAACGTGCCGCAGGTCTCTCTAACAAGAAGACCATGTAAACCCGGACGGATGGAATAACCAAACACACCACCTTTCTCATCCAAGGCACTGTGTGAATTGATGCGTTTACGCCCCAATTAGATGTGTAACACAAATGATTTGCTACTTGAAACTCCTACTCAAGTCAATTGCTCATTCACTTGACAAAACAGCGCGCCCCAACCTGTGAAAACAGTTGCATCCCCCTGCCAAAAAAAGTTGCCATCAAATAGCCCAAAGGGGCCCGAGACAGA